AAATGACAATAAATTCAAATATTTTATAAATTTCAGCAGTTTGATTTAAAAAAATTAAAAAAAAAAGCAATTGCGATTCCCAAATTTTGGTCCCTTTAGTCAGTGAAGTAGCTCACAGCGATATGGAAGGGACAACGTTCGGGGCAAACTGGTGATGCTCAGCACACCAAAGACATTTCGAGGTGGCTAAATCCTTGTCAGTTGCTTCTATCAAGGGAACCACTGAGCTGGTATTCCTTGCAGGCATTTTTGGTATTCATGCAGGGGATGAAACGAAGGTCAGGATCGTCAAGCAGTGCAACATTGTTCAAGGCAACTGTGAAAATCGAAAGAAGCTGCCAGATGTATAGCTCAAAAGCAGACTTTAGAAGTGATAGCTTTTTTAATAATTCAACAATATGATCTAAAAATTATGTGCAACTAAAAAATTGTGTGAAAATCAAAAAAATGCCGGAATTTGGGGGATCAGGAGTGTTATGTGGTACCTGCTCTGTCCGCTGTTATTTATCCACCATCGCCTGATACGTTCTTCCCACATTTGCGGTGACATATCGTATTGCTTGATGACACAGTCCGGCAACAATTCACTTAACTGCAGCTGAGAGCCCTCCGTACAATCACCTTGCTAAAATTGGCCATCAGTTAATTACCTGCGTTATTTCTTTTTTCGCTCTCTCGGTAAACAATGCTGAATGTATTGCATTCCTTGCTCTATTTGAGTGGCCGTTCAAATGACGGTTTAAAATGCCTTCAGGTCACTTTTCTAGGGATGAGGAAGTATCAGCCAGGAACCCCTACGGGGCCATACGCGGGAATCACGCACACCTGGAGGCTGAATTTTAAATCTTTGAGTTCCATATAGACGGGGGGACATAAACTCAAAATTTCAGCTTTCTGGCTTTTCCGGATCCCGATTTAGTGGTTTTCCCGCCAAAACATTGACCTCCTCGCACGTGGAGCCTAGAATAATTTTCAAAAGATGCGCGAAAGACTCACAATTGCTTGCACTGCGTAGGACGCTAGCAGAACGGACGCTTCTGCGGAACAGTACAGCTGCATACTGAGGATGCTTTGTTTGATTTGCAGGAAGAAAAGATGGCGTGTAATATCCTGAATCAATTCCTCTTCCACGTCCTCCGGATAGAATTTGACGAGAAATATGAGATGTATCGAGCCATCGGCCTGCTTCGGTACTTCCTGTTTATTTACCTAAAATTTGAAAATTTCATTAAAATTTGAATTTTTTGCGTAACACAAATTTTATTGACCCGCAAAAAAGTCAAAAGACATTTCAGGAGGTGGATTTTGGCGAAGAATTTGGTAAATGCCCATTTAATAAAAAATTAATTACAACAAAATCTTCCAAAAATTCCAATCTAAGTACATCAACGTGAAGTGGCAAAAGACGAGGCACGGTAGATTATAAGCCCTGGGAACTTCAAGTAAGCCGAAAAGAACTTTGCTGCACATTGTTCGATCAAGTGCGTCTGGCACGGCCAAATCAGTGCATGACAGTATAGCAAAGATCGTTAGACATACATCGAACGCAACAAAGCAGCATGCGCTATTTTGAAACGCGGTATGGTGAGAAACATGAAATGAGAAATGAAAAACAAGGGCTTAAATATCCTGCTCGTCTTTTGGTCCAGTCTTTTTGCTGCAACTGGACACTGACGAGGTCCAGTTGCAACACTGAACAAAAATGTATGCGACCTGATGGACCGAAACATTCCTATTCAGGTTTTTATTCCGATTTAACGCATTCGCATTCCTTTTATTCCCTTACTTTTAAACCCTCACTTTTTACATAAACACACATCATCTAAAATTAAAATTACAATAGGGAAGGAGGGCGAGGGGACGGGGCAAGGAGAGGGGGAGGGGGAAGGGGATAGGGGACCAGCAACAGAAGGGACATCTAAGGATTTAGGGAGGACCGGATGATGCCAACACGGATCGAATTGCCCACTTCAATATGTAACCATAACATGGTAGGCGTTGCCGAGGCATGATAAGCTCCTCTACGAAATCGACAGAACATTATGCGATGTCTTGGATGTGTTTAAAAAATCGTGAAAGAACGAACACATCACGAAGTAAATTTAAAGTAAATATACAGTCTCAAAAATCACTTTACTACTAACAAGTGACAATCATAATTGGAAAAATTTTAACGCATAAAACAGTGATTTAAACGGGTTTGCAGTATCAAAATAACCAGACTTAAAGTACTCAAACTCAGCAAATGCATACTCATTCGATCGTTTTTTAAAAATAATACTCAATTGTTAGCTTGGCCCATTTGAGTCGAAGAGTATTTTCATTACAGTTTCATTCCAATGCTACAACTGAATTGTGTTTTTGTACTTCCCCCCTCCCCCTCTTCCCTTCTATTTCATTTCATATCACTGAATAAATTAAACGCATTCAAAGCAAGTAACTAGTCTCTACTACAATCACGTGATGAAATACAGCAAGTGGAAGTGGAAGCCAACAGAGTTTCGCTTCTCTCCCGGTCAAAATTTTATCCTTCCTGTCACCCACTTAACGTGGAGTTTTATTTTGGAAATATTTTTTGAATTTCTTCATTTATTTCTATAGCTAACAAATTGGAAAAATATTAACTGCATCTGAAAAGACTAAAATAACCTTTTTATCCATTTGCAGCCAACATGGGATGCCTTTTTTGTTCACAAACTGCAATCCAAAATACCATATTTCACGTAGGCCGATGATTCGACATACTGTATCGAACAAATGACGCCCAGTGCAATCAGGCTGAAAAAAAAAGTCCGGCCGTACAACTTGTTTTGAAAAAGTCACGAAAAATACCCTCAATTTCGCTGGGAATTCTCGATATGCAACCATTTTCTCTAGAAATCCTGTTTTTTTTTTCGATTTACCCCTTCTTTTCAGCTTTTACTTAACCTATTAACCGCAAAATTCGACTCATATTGCATTGCTCTAGCAATTCTCCAACATTGTTACAGATCATTTCTTCAGCGCAGTTACAACAGGCCCCAGAACTACTGCAGCCATGACACCAAACCCGGAAGTTCACATCCTAGATGGCTTTTCCCATTATATAGTGTTCAAAAGCATGCCATATTAAATTCATGGGCCTAGCCAGCCAAAGTTAGTTATACAAGAAAAATAAGTCCCGTAGGTGTCCTTAATCAGAATAAGAGCCGAACGAAACGATGCTTTACAAATTTAATTGAACATAAACCACAATGCATCCACAGCACTGGCGAATCCAGGGGGGAGAAGGCGAGGGGCCTTTCGCCCCAGGGGCTTAGGCAGCAGCTGTTTTACTGTAGAAAACTCTCTTCGACCCCCCGTCCCTCCCCCTTCCCTC